GACGACTGCGTTCATTTAAACGCCATTGGCGGCGGTCTGCTTGGGTAGATATGAATGCGTCACCGAAAGCCAGTGAGCCATGGGACTATGAACGAAGCGATTGCATTCATCGATACCAAGGGGTGTTTCGGGGACACCGAAATATGTTTTCATCGCATGCGACTCACGTAACCCGGTTCTCGGCAGGTTCTCCTCGACATTCCTATGTGGCCGTTCGACATTATTCTAAAAACGGTGGACTCGATGCTGGAGTGTATTTAATGCAACATTATTTGGAAAGATAAAAGATATCACACGTTATCGGTTGATTAGTCCTTTTGAAATCCATCCCATCGATCAAAGTCCTGGGTGTCAAAGTCGAACAAGTCCAACATCCGTCCCACACTGTGATCCACAACTTCGTCTATTGTTGCCGGTCTATGGTAGAAGGCCGGGACTGGAGGAAATATGATGACGCCGTTTTGGGTGAGAGAGAGCATGTTCTGAAGGTGTATGCCGCTCAGGGGACATTCGCGAGCCGCAAGTACTAGCTTCCGGCGTTCTTTGATGATAACATCCGCAGCTCGCGCAATGAGCGTATCGCATAGACCCGAATTAATCGCGGCGAGCGTCTTCATGCTACATGGCACGACGACCATGCCGTCAACGCGATAGGACCCACTTGCAATTAGGGCGGCCATGTCGTGGTTGTTGTAAACGTGGTCCGCTAGAGCACGAACATTGATGGCTGTGTAGCTCGTTTCGTACTTGAGGGTGCTGTCTGCCCACTTGCTGATAATGAGGTGCGTCTCGATGTTGAGGCGACGCAATGCGATCAAGGTTTTGATGCCGAGGATAGAGCCAGTAGCACCGGTGAGAGCAACAATCATTCTTTTGCGCCTGGGTTGAGGCGGAGTTGCGTTGTTTCGACTGCTTTCTTCAGTCATTTTTGCCGTCTAAGGAGGTCTATTTCGAAGCAAAAAGGCCGTTGGGTGGAGAGTGGTGGCTTTTCTTGAGCAGTTTGCGTTTTATGAATTTGTCTGGAATTTCAAGAGGAAGCGTCAATGTAACGGTCAAACAAGAGTCGGATGGCTCAGGACAAGATACTTCAACAAGATGAGGATATCCCGAAAGCACAGTAACCGGAATGTGACGTATATGACCCATCGCGGCATACCTCGCTCGATCTAATAGACGCAAGTCTCAAAGTCACGAGGGCTCATCAACGGTGAGGCTCAAAACATGGGTCTGCCCCAAGCAAAGAGGGACCTTGGACGTAATAGCAAGGCACTAAAGCCAAAGCTCGCCCCTCCAGGATCCGGAAATATTTCTGGCAACAAGGAGATTGTGTGTGAAGTCAACTTTTAGTTTCTTTAGTGGGGGATTTTGGGAAATATTCGCGGATATAAACCAAGGAACGTTTGAGGCTTTCCTCCTTTTGTATGACCATAACGTAACTTGAGAGGCTCTGGGTCTGGACCACGACACTTCGGCTGGGCATCCGACTTGAACTACGGGAGCTGTCCCGAGTCTTTAAAACAGCCTTGCCGCGTCACGAAAGCGCGATTCATAAGGAACATACCGATAATTCCGGAAACCCCCACGGGAGGCCATTTCGGAGACCCAGATGCGGCCCGTTTCCTGACACATCACTGCATCAAGATCTTAAGATCAAGAAATTCGCTCACGGTGCCAGAGGCTCTTTGCGGCCCAAAGCAAGATTTCACGGTCATGACACCTGTGAGCAAGATCCATAAGACCCTCTTTGATCGGAATGATGGGGGGCGCCAGTGAAGTAGCAACTTTTAGGCCTGGTCCGACTCCAGTGCAAGCAAGACGACCCCTCATCGCCACAAACTACCCGACGGACCTCGGTGCTGAATCGTGTCACAACGTAAGCTACAAGAGATAAAGCCTTAAGCCAAAAGCAAGCTGAGCCTAGGTATCTGGCCGTCATAACGAGGTCAAAACTTGATCAGCGACTCAAGCCATCAGTTTGTCCAAATTCTTTGCCTATTATCACCTTGTCTCGGTCGCCTTAAGTTGGAGACAGAATATCATCATGGCACTGCCATCCCATCCTTCACAATCGTGTGGCCTTGCTGCTGCCAACTTTCGCCAGTACGTCAAGGAGCTGGCTGAGGAGGGCGATCTGTTGTCTATCTCCAAGGAAGTCGACCCTCGTCTTGAACTAGCAGCTATCGTACGGAAGGTCTACGAAACTGAAGACAAAACGCCTCTTTTCGAAAACATCAAAGGACGCCAGCAGAACGGTCTCTTTCGGGTCTTGGGAGCACCTGTGGGTGCCAGCAGTTTGCCGGGAAAGAGGTTCATTCGCACAGCAAAGTCGTTGGGACTTCCGTCCGAATCCAGCGGCCGGGACATCATCTACGCCATCAACCGCGCAAAGAAGCGTCAACCGATCGCTCCAAGGGAGTTCGAGACTGGTCCTGTCAAAGAGCACAAGATCTTCGGAGATGAAATCGACCTGGAAAAACTTCCCGTCCCCCTCTTCCACGAAGACGATGGCGGTAAATACTTGCAAACATTCGGCATGTATATCGTTCAGAGTCCCGATGGCTCGTGGGTCAACTGGTTAATCACCCGCGGCATGGTCAATGGCAAACGGTCTTTGGTCGGCCCCACCATGTCAGCGCAAGATATCGGTGTCATTCGAAAAATGTGGCAAGACAGAGGCGAAGATATGCCCTTTTCTCTCTGCTTTGGTGTACCACCTGCTGCCATCATGGTCGGCGGAATGCCCATGCCCAAGGGTGTGAATGAGAGTGGTTTCGTAGGGGCTCTCCTTGGCCAGCCTGTGGATGTCGTGAAGTCCGAGACCAATAACATCTGGGTTCCTCGCGATGCGGAGATCGTTCTCGAAGGCGTCGTTTCAAGGACTGAGACCGCTGACGAAGGACCTTTCGTCGAGTACCATGGGCACGTGTTCCCTGGATCAGGGAAGCCTTGTCCAGTATTCAACATCGATGCCATCACTTACCGAGATGATCCTATTCTCCCCATTTGTGTCGCGGAGAGGGCGACTGAGGAGAGCGAGACAGTCTGGGCTCTTACCCAGGCGGCTGAGGTTCTGAATATTTGCGAAGCCGCCGAGCTGCCAATTGAAATGGTGTGGAGTCCTTTTGAGTCTCACTGCCTTTGGTTTGTCCTCCAGGTCAACTGGTCCAAGTTGTGCGCGCTTCAGACCAATGTGAAAGATTTCTGTGAGAAGGTTGGCCACACTGTCTTCTCAACCAAACCTGGTTTCTACATTCCTAAGATCTACCTGGTTGGAGAAGACATTGACCCCGCCAATCTCAATGAGCTTATTTGGGCTGAGGCAACTAGATGCCAACCGGAGATCAACGAATTCTTTTTCAACGCATGTGGCAACATTCCTCTTATTCCATATGTCACCCATGGATTCAAAGACAGAAAGAACCATGTCAAGGTTGTGCGTTGCTGCATGTTTCCAGCAGAATTTACAGACTCGAATCTGAGCTGGAAGCATGGCTCTTTCCGAGGTTCATATTCGAGGGCGATTCAGGATACGGTCGATGGCCAATGGGCTGAGTATGGATTTTAGCTTGCCATTGCAGTGATAGAGATGAAATAAGCAGTCCTCATGGTATGGCTACCGTAACAGATAGGTATGATACCCATGTCCAGTCAAATTAGTTGCACATGGCCGTTTTCGTGAAACGGAGAAACGGGGCTATATCCTTGCCCGGGTTTACGCGGGGAAAATTGTGCAGCATAATCACACTGCCTTTTTTGTGCTGCTATTCCACAGCTTCTGAAAAGGGAAAATGCAGCATGCTGCAGGTGCAAGGACTCAAGTAGACGAGGGGCTCCAAAAGATCACGTTTCCCCCACATGCCCCTTCCCTAGCCTGATTCACGGGGTAAAGCCATGGCATATCCGGCGCGAATTTTTCGGTGTCTGTTTAATTACGAATAAGTACTCGGCCAGGTCCATTGGGTTTGTTTTTTACCATCAAGGATTCGGTCAGCATGTTGCGCTGTGAATGACTATTACATTGGTCCCTTTCTTGGTCGCATCTCGCTGATTGGAGAAAGGGAGACCGAGGAGGTGGTTGGAAGATCAGATCGTGTCAATTTGATCACGTTTATGACCAAGTTATAGCGCGACCTCAATCATCCAAATCTTACCGGTGCTGGGGGTTCCAAGAAGCCAATCCGATTAGCCGGCGTCCTGAAACATTACTTGACAGAAGCCCCGGAAGGTGACTTTTGTATTGCCCAGGCTGAATTTGATTGGGATGACCAATCAGGGATTACAATTTATTTTCTTGCAGTCTCTGGTCAACAGTCTCAGCTATAGGACTTATCTTTCATCACTAATATCGACCTTCAAGGTTCAGCATCATGTTTCCTTGGAGTGCGACATGAAGGACTTTAACATGTATCTTTCAGCATTTCTTGATTAGACCTCGTGTCTTACGAATACTCCGTTGATGTCATCAGACTAGCTGTCAGGGGTTAGCGAGTTATCGGTGGATCTTGTCCTTGGGGTAATGCTGTTGGCTCTGCTGCTGCGGAGTCTTCGAGTGAGCGACATAATCAGCGCATATTATTGAGAAAACTAATGCGCTCGTATGGATTCTCAAGAGAATTTGCGAACGTTTCTTCAAGGGTATACATAAAACCACTTCTTCTTTTCGAACGGATTGACTCGTTATGGGTTAGCCAACTGTTTATGCAGAGTGATCGTTGATGATAACTGGCCAGATAGCCTTGCATGTCGCATGATGAGCAGTCATATCTCACCTGCATTCTCCGGATGCCAGGGGTAGGCTTCCGCTTCTGTCAGAGCGGAGCGCGATGCCGGGGACTGCAGCATACACATTTCTTCAATCAAGAAGAGGGGTATCATGCTCAATCTCTTTTCGCAGATAACTCTGTTTTCCCTCCGACCTATGATCAATCTAACTGAACCATTCCTTCTTGTACTTCAAACTTCTATGAGACCCATCTGCAGACCATCATCGCAATATCAATATGTCAGCAGTTGTTGAAGCTCCTCGCAGCGATGCTGCCGAGAATCGAGCTCCTGCCGATGACGCCGAGCACCAAGCTCCTGCCGATGCTACCGAAAATGAAGCTCCCGACGAAAATGCTCAAAACGTGGCAGATCGTCAAGTTGTGCTTTTAGCAGATGAGGTATTGTTGGCGAGGCTTCTGTGTGATTGTTCACTACTAAATATCTACAGGGCATCGAGAATGATGACGGGGACTTGAGGAGTCTTGCATCTTCTAGTCAGAGCTTGAACAGTTCGATTTTTGACCATCGCTTCGAGAACGGGAGGACTTATCATAAGTACAAAGACGGAAGTAATCAAAATTCCTGTCTCCATCAAATTGGGACGGAACACAGTGCTGACAAAATTATGTCAGAGTACAAGCTCCCAAACGACGAGACTGAGAATGATCGCCTGGGTACGGTCTCCAGCTGCTTTTTAAAACCTCCTCAGTAACTAACCGACAGTCCAGATTTGCAGCATCATTTATTCAGACTGACCTTCAATGGAAGGCTGGCGAACTGTCCACTGCTAGAACAAGACGTCGATATCGGTAGAGTACTAGATCTCGGCTGCGGCACTGGTATATGGTGCTTGGAAGTTGGGGACGAACACCCGGAGGCAGACGTGCGTATGAGTCAGTTACAATTGCGAGCCTTAATGCTGATGACCGAAACGTCAGATTCTTGGTGTTGATCTATCCCCAACCATGCCCGAGTTGTGCGTATGCCACCGCCCTATACCTGTAACGTTTCATTAACACCTGAAAAGTGTCGCCCCGAACGTGAAGTTCGAGATTGATGATATCGAAGAGTCTTGGACGTATACCAAGCCTTTTGACTACATTCACAGTCGAATGATGAACTCTAACATCTGCGACTGGGACGCCTACGTCAAGCAGGCCTATGAGTAAGAGCAATGATAGCCCGACAGATCGGAATGCGGCAGTGTATTGCAAGGTTTTTGAAAGCTGACTTATCGAACAGCAATCTCAATCCTGGTGGCTGGCTGGAATTGAACGAATGTGACATTGCCCCTGTTTCTGATGACGGAACCTTAATGGAGGATTCCAGCATTTGCGAATCAGTTAGACTTCTCAAGTCGGCTGCTGAGCAATTCGGTCGGCCTTTCAAGTACATGAGTGGCTTGAAAACTACTTTGAGAAATGCAGGCTTTGTGGACGTGCAGCTGCTCCAGTTCAAGTGGCCAACCAATCCATGGCCAGCAGACCCTAGGTACAAGGAGCTTGCCGAATGGATGAGTGAAAACTTAGCCACTGGATGGGAAGGTGTTTGTCTTGCAATGCTCACAAGGGCACATGGCTGGACTAGGGAGGAAGTCATTGTCTTTATGGCACAATGTCGCGCGGAATTTCGAAACAAGCATATTCATGCTTATTTCTCAATGTGAGTTTTTACAATCTACGACGAATTGCTGGATACGGGCACTGATGTCGGTACAGCTGGTCTGTCTATGGAAGGAAGCCCACTGAAGCAGAGCTTTCTAGCGCCTGAGTATTGATACCCATCTGGCTCTGGACTCAGTAGCATCATGTTGAGAAACTGAATGTTTTGCGGTTTACTATGCTTCTGAATTAGATGATGTAGCTCCTCCTACTTGGGTATCTTGGTATGAAATGCGATATATTGCCAGTTGTGGAAACAATCTCCTATTGTTGCTTGGGTCGCCCATGATTATAAGAGTAATTGGTATAGCCAGCAGTCAGAGTATCGTCATCGACAAGCTGCGTTGATGCTGGTGAAGTTGAGGAGAATCGTTCTTGAATACTGTGTGAAGTAATGCGCCAAATCGTTGAACAGAACCTGCTGGTTGATAGCGTGTTGCAGCTGGAGGTAGAGCCCCTCAATGCTGAGTCGCAGTTCCATTTTCCAAGCCCCAAACGACCCAGGCTAATAGAAAGTTTGTAACAGGAAGCCAATATGGCATGCCTGACCTCATCTGGCTCCAGTAACCGGAGCTTGTCAGAAAACAGCCGAGGAAGAGAGTGACGACAGACGCTCGTGTCCATGGAAAAGCCAACAAGAAACCTTCCATGACCATCAATACCCCGATGTATTGCATGTGGAGCTTAGTGGTCCGAGGATCTGTAAAGGGATACACTGGATGAAGATGCGGCGCTGTGATCTGAGATTTTCGGTAAATTCTTTCATGGAGGGATTTGAATGGCCAGGAACTGATCCTGGGCCAGCCACCGATGAAATACTCGATTGTAAGAACAATGCGCGGGACGCTAAGAATTACAGACGACATGATGAACGAGTTGATGGACCTTTGATACGATACAACACATGTAGTATTGATGATTGACGAAACAACCATTCGCGAATTGTTGACTGTGGGGGAAGTAAAAGTATCTCGCGACCGAGTTGGAGTCGATGATGTAATCCCTGTCTGACTGCGACCGCCGATCCCATGGGCTAGCCGTCATAGGCGAATTCAAACGCACGCCTTAGCTTTTGAATACGTAGAAGGGATGCGGCATGCATCATGCATGAATAACGAGAAAACCCATGCCCACTGGAAATCCAAAGGCCTGCTTCCGCCATATTGTGTTCCCAATACGAGACCTTATTGAGGCACCTTTGAAATCGCTGCCATGGTCTCTTTTGCTCCTCTCGCCAGGATAGCCGAGTCCTGTCCCCCAAGCAAGAACCGTACACCAAGTTGGTTGATTGCCCAGTCATGAAGCTCGTGATCATCGTATATGCCGGCTAAACCCATGATCTTCCCGTGCTTCTTGCAAGCTTGACTGATTGTCTCCATAGCCGCCCGAAATTCCTTACTCCTAAATTGTCCTGGCGCTCCTAGCTCTATTGCCAGGTCATTAGACCCAACTAGAAGCACATCCGCGCCGTCAACTGATGCGATCTCTTCAATGTTATCTATGCTCTCCTTGGTTTCAATCATCAAGAAGACGCTAGACCCGTTTCTATTTGTTTCGGAAATGATGGTGTCTTGGGGCGTTGCCTTGAGAGAGAAGAGCGGGAGCTGTCCAGTGATCGACCTCTTGCCTTGAGGCGGATACTTACATATCGAGACCGCCGCCTTAGCATCGTCTTGTATGGATTGTGAGAATCTTCGCTGAAGCTGGGCATCATTCGACGCAGTCTTACCTCGACCATGAACATGAGGAAAGATAACACCCATCGCCCCGCCATCCAAGACTTTCTGAATGAAACCATTCCCACATTGGTAAGGGACTCTGACAAAGGGTGTGATGCCCAGTTGTAAGCCAACTATACAGTGCTGGCTTGCATCCTGGATGGAAAGTGTTGAGTGCTCCAAGTCAATGAAGAGAGCGTCAAAGCCTCCGTTTGCCGCCAAATGGACGACTTGGGTATTGGTCACCAGCCTGATTCCCATCGCCTATGAAACGTTAGCCGCCGAAATGCTCCCACGTAAATATCGACTGACCGTGCATAGCTTGCTGGCTCCGCTGAGACGGGCCAAGCTGTTGGTGAAGAGGGACGCCATGGCGAAATAAGAAGACTTTGATTACGACTCAACCACAACCGATTGATGTCCTGTGTTCCAATAACTTGATCGCCGTCATTGCATAAATAACCAATCCTCGTGCTGCCATTTTGAGGGGTAGATGGAAACGTCAGCTTACGTTCACTACTCTCGGCAGCCGTTCCCGCCGTCCTGCACGTTTCGGCAGCCCTTGCCGAGCCCGTGTAAGTTGGGTGTGGGGCGCCGGGATGTTGGCACAATTGTTATCTCGGCCACGGTTACCGCCCGCCGGTCTCATTGAAAGAGGATCTTATCACACACCTTTGAGTAATAATTTGAAGACAATTTTGGAGAGTTGATGGGTCTTCGTCATCGTTCACACAACAATCTTACTCCTCGAAACGAATCGCTTCTGCTACAATGTTCGAGCACATCAAATCCGGTCCTCCGGACCCCATGTTTGATCTCAAAAGGGACTCGGACAACGATCACAGCTCAGAGAAAGTTGATCTAGGAGTCGGAATATACAGAAATGAGTCTGGCTTGTATCAAGAGCTGGAGGTTGTGAAGTTGGTAGGTTGTCAAATTACTCCCTCGATTGCTTGCACTGGCAAAAAGGGACAAAAGGCTGACGAATTTGGGGCTAGGCCAAGAAAGAGCTTGACCGACAGAATCTGGGACATGATGTATGTGTCCTGTAACATTCTGAGCGACTATCATGTCTAAGAACATTTTAGTATGGGCCAACAATGGGCGACCCTGAATTTCTCAAATTTGCTGCTTCGGTGATGTTCGGAGACAGATGCGGAGCACTAGCTTCTGGCAAGGTATTTCCATTTCGGCGAGGCCCCTCCGCAGTAAAGCATACTTCTGGGAAGTGGAGTCGCTGATGGCCTGGTAGATTTCATCGGTCCAAACCATCTCAGGTACCGGTGCGAATGCCCTTGGCGCACTGCTGATTTCGAAAGCCATGTCTCCAAACAGAAAGGTATACATCAGCACGCCGACTTGGGGAAACCATTTCGACATATTTCACAATGTTGACATGGAGACTGTGAGCTATCCGTATCTTGACTCATCCAAGCACGCGGTGAACTTCGACGCTCTTTTGGAAGCAGTGCGGACGGCGCCTCAAGGTAGCGTGTTTATTCTGCAGGGCTGTTGCCACAACCCCTCTGGCGTCGATCTTAGTGTCCAACAATGGCAGGAGTTGGCCACTGAGATGAAGTCTCATGGTCAGCTGCCTTTCTTCGACACCGCATACCAGGGACTTGGCGATGGGTTTGACGAGGATGCGGCTGGTGTACGAATCTTTGTCGAAGCTGGCTTGGAGATGCTCGTTTGTCAGTCATTCTCAAAGAACTTTGCGCTTTATGGAGAACGATGCGGAGCTCTTCACGTAGTGGCAGATTCCACCGAGGTAGCTGCGAACGTCAAGGATCGTCTTCGAAGTTTGATTCGGTACACATATTCTTCTTCTCCAGCCTACGGCAGTCGCCTGGTAAAGATTGTGTTGAGCAACTGCGAGTTACGAAATGTTTGGTGAGCAACGCTCGGCTAATCACTCAAGGCGAAACTTACTGACGTGTCAGGACCCTGGAACTTCAGGGTATGAGAGAGAGATTGAAGCGAAATCGGCAAGCACTATATAGTGAACTGACAAACTTCCTGAAAGTGAGTGAATCAAAGAAGTCCAATTTTATAGAATCCAATCTCATCGCAGCCAGACACCAGGCGATTGGTCGCATCTTACCCAGGAAAAGGGATTATTCTCGTAAGTAGCACCGACTCGGCCAAACAAACGATCAACTAACGAGGACTGCTAGATGCCTAGCGCTGTCGCCAGATCAATGCAAGACGTTGGTTACCAAATACCACGTACACCTTCCGGGTTCTGGGCGCATCAATGTGGCCGGTTTGAGTGAGGATAATGTGCGTCGTGCTGCCAAAGCTATTGACGAAGTCATCAGGCAGACCGTACAGGAGAAGCTTTGAACAATTTGGACTCTACCTTGAGTCAGAAATATTGGTAGAACTCCACAGAAGGCACCTTGGCGGTATTAATTTCACATTCTGTCGGGAAAGTTCAGGCGACTGGGAGGCAGCCACACTGAGGCCAAATATTCCTGCTGCCTAACTTGCCAATTTGCAACTCGAAACGGGTATAAATACCTGCACTCCCCCCTGCATTCCAGTCCTCTCTCTTCTTCTTTTCCCCATCCCAGTGCAGGAGTGTACACAGATCACTGAAGCTTCGGCTGAGATTGTGTTTTTGCTGATGGTGGCCCTTTCACCACTGACCACTCCTAGTTGGTCTTGACCAGCTAGGGTATTTTTGAACCATTTCTGTGACCAGAGCAGGCTCTTTCATTGCTACTGATCTCATGATTTGTAGCGAAGATGGTGCATACGATCTTCGGCTTGATGCCAGTCGTTGGGCAGGCCGTCGGTGCGTCTCAAAGGCATGCCTTCGCCGGTCCGACGGCGAGTCTCGCCGAAGATCCAAGTATTGGCCCCTGAAGGCGGATACGCTATGAGCGGTTGCATGTTTACTGTTGGTGATTGGCTGACCGTCAAGATCGCAAAGAGGTAGACTCGGGTAAGGGCAAACGTTTTCATCGGGGGACAAAGCCACTGGCTTCCGCGGCATGCGCGGGTTACCTTGGGCGTCAGGGTGTGAACACAGGTGAGATGAGAGTGATTTTGGTTGCCTAGCCCCGCCACGCTTCCAAGCCACTCGCGTCGACCGAGTCCGTTCCGCCCGCTTTCGTAACCTTTGGTGTGAGTGGGGCCGACTCGGCCCCGGTCCGGAAGAGGGCGCCGGCCGAGCATAAAACGGCGAGATGAAGTCTTTTCCAGGCGTGCTTGTAGTTGTAACAAATAGAATGATCATATTATGGAGAGAAATATTAGTTCCGTTCAGTAACGTGAAGTACTAGTAAGCATCTCCGAAGTCTTTTTGGTATTTGGCCTGTCAGCTTGTTCAAAAGGCCAATTGACTAAATAGCGAATTGCCACCTTGCGGCTATTTCATAACGCACTTGGCATCAGTGTGCATGATTTTATGTTCGAAATTGATTCCATGGTAGATGCTTGGCTCGAATCGTTTGGTATGTCAGCGAGTCTTGGCTGTCCATGGCGCGAAAGGTCTCACTACGTCCGTACTTTTCGTAAAACTCGCGACCCTGTGGTTCTAGATCGCTTTTGTGGACCTTTGGAGTCCCTTGCATCTTGCCGAAAACTTAGTTCCCGTTGCAAAAAGGGCGACAGACCAACTTCAGCGACGTATCCCACGTGCTCCCCGGGTCTAGCGTTTGCCCTTGGCTTCAACCGAGCCAGGCCGATGCAGGGCCCTAGAGGGCCTAGTGTGCTCATGTTCATCGCCAATACATTGTCGGGAATGGCGGCTCTTACCACAGACCGATGTGGCTAACGATCACATAAGACGGTGCCAGTGCCGCGCACCCGGCTGGCCAGATCGGCGCGGAAAAGGCAACGCGATTACGCACGAGACGGGGAGAGCGACCACATAGACCACGGACTTTGGCTCACCACCAGTAAGCATAACTGCCTCGTTGTGCTTTAGTACGGCTCGTGGCTTTAAACATTCGAGGATAAAGTCCAATTTATTCAATCCTTTGGCCGTTGAATTGGCCTCGCGGGTCTCACGGCCGGCTGACGATGCAGCATTCGACGGGTAGAACATGACGAAAGGCAGATTGTATGCTTTCGGCGGCAGTGAATAACCAAGGGATGCCAGCTCGTACTGCCAAATTGAATCGTGTCGTGATCAGAACCATCTGAGACATGGCCCTGAGTTGAAGGGGAAACAGCGTGCCGATGGCCTCCGAGACATCCAACTCCAGATTTCTCGCCGTCTTTCATAAGAAACCCCTGGCAGATGACAAACGTGCTCGGGAATATTTCAATGCACCAATCTGTAAACAATATGAAAGTTTATGTTTCAGCGATTCATCTCCAGATTGTCTTGCGATTTTCCAGGCACGTTCGTCTGTCAAAGTAGTCCCTTTCACGAAAGTGCTCGTCGCGGAAATCCGATGCGCACGATAAGGATGAAGTTGGGCGTGCCCCATCCGAATCCGGATGATGGATCCGGCATCGTACGTAGTGATAGCAGCAACTCACGTTACGAAAGCGTGCCTAGCAGAATGTTAATGCGGCGCTAGGAGTCAGTATGTCTTGCACTAGTCACTTGCAGGACTCAGCTTTCCGCTCAGTGCTTCCTTTTATAATTACAGGCACCCGATCTCTGATCAAGGAACGCTCTGGTAAAACGTGATGTGAAGATGTGACGATGGATGATGGCTCACTTCCCGACCCCGAAGGCGGTAACGATTATAGTACGTCAAATCCCCACCCCGAATCCTCGAAGAGACCGAAAACCCGCCAAACGATATCCCTGGCTGACAAGTATGGCACACGAATAGACCACAGGATGGGTGACCATTCTCACCGCGGGGGCAGTTATTGCTGCGTCCCTTCATCTCCGGATCAACATACAAGGGAGGAAGCTTATGCCGAGCGACTACTTTCTATGCCTTGCCTGGTGCTCCGCGGTAGCTACAGCCTCATTCGACATCCAGTTTACGGTCATGGGGGCTTTGAAGCAAAACATCAAAATCACCTTAGATGGTTATAATGGCAGTGATGAGGATGTGATCAAAGTTATGAGGGTAAGGAGCCTTTACCCCAAGTAACTCAATCATCAATTGGGCCTATGACCAACACTAATATGTTTTCGTTCGTTAGTTATTTTGGGCGAGCAGCATACCGTTCTTCACGACATTTTACCTGTGCAAGGGGGCGCTCCTTGCCGTCTACGTCCAACTTTTCCCTGTCTTCATGTATTGGCGCAGAATGTTGCTGTGGGTCGTCATTGTCTACACAGGGCTGGCATACTTGACTAGCATATTGTTGCTTTTCACAATCTGCTTACCTCTCAGCAAGAACTGGTGAGTCACTTGTCCTCCCATATCTGTTCAGTTCGACAGTACTGACTTTCGTCCTAGGGCTGTTGAGGATAGGGTAGTCGGAACAGAAAATGTAATGTGCTCGGCTTCTTCTCCGGCAATCGTTTTCCAAGTCGGATGGGCATTACACTTCTTCGGGGATATTCTCGGTACGCTCTATTGATCAAACCTTTCCTCGGCTTGTGCGCTAACGCGAACTTTGGGCAGTCTTCTCCATTCCATGGCTGATCATTCCCGACCTGAAGATCAGAAAAGCGCTCAAGATTGGCGTTTACTGCACGTTCGGGCTCGGCATCATCAACATGACTTTCTCCTTGGTGAGATTCATCACTATTCAAACAGCTTCTGTGGACTACTTGCCTTTTGGCCTGGTTGGTATGTCACCAGCCCTTCACAGATGGTTTCATGTTAGCCACCTGCTCACATCATTTCCTCGCAGAACTGTGGAGCGAATTAGATGTCAACATCGGTTTACTCGTTGCAAGCCTACCGTCTCTCAGACCGTACTTCCGATCCAGCCGCAGAGCTGGCTACTCCGATAAGTCTAACGGTTATAATTACAAGTCAACAGTCAAAACACCAATGAGAGCGTCCGGAATGACTGGGTTCGATATCATGACGTTGCCAACAATTGAAGAGCAAGATCTAGACGACGTTGCTCCGAGCTCATCGACCCGATCACAAAAGTCTGGAGTCGAAGTATAGCTCAAACAACTCATCGGCGGCAGTTGTTAGACATTAAAAGTACATGAATTTTGGATCGATGGTCCGTCCGACTGTACCATGTCTTTGGCCGCTTCATCACCGCCGATATGAAAATCCACATAGAACCAAGGCGCAGTCAAAGAAGCTGCGCACATGTACATAGGATATGTGTGAACGAATTACTCATGACGAACTTTCATAGATGCATCATAGCGGGACGGTTTTCACATCACGCCTGTTGAGACCTGGTCTAACATGGGTTGGAAGGATTTTCTTTTTCATTTCTCAGATACGAGACAAGTATTCTCGAATGACATCAGTCAATACCAGAAGCCCTAATGTCACCTGATTCCCACTATCGAACCGAGACAGAGTCTCTCAATCTGTCCCGGCTACGGCTTATTAATCATCATGCCAAGGTTTCCCTCCAGATTCCCAATTGATAATGGCCAATCGAGGCACATTTTGTGAGTTTGAGTGAGTCACACATGGGTCGTTTCTTGGTGAAGTATTGTGAAAGTGTAATCAGTGCGAAATTTATGACCTTCGTTTGAGATATCATCCAAAGACCCAAGATTGATCACGATATCTCCAGGGCATCTCAGATCTGATGTAGTAAATCATGACAAGGCGGTAAGTTCAATAAAGAAGTACTATACCTCAAGTATTTCATACGATAGATTCCGTGCACAACTGCAACCAGTAACAGTGGAATCTCATCGCGGTCAAGGAGCCATATTCACCGGGACAGAATTTGGTGAAATCAGCCTTCCGAAAGCCAGGGTCATGGGTTCCCAGCTTTAATCTATCTCGGACAGTCCGGCGACGGGTTCAAGACATGCTCGGGCACCGAGACATCTAGGAGGATGCGTGTAAGCATACCGACCATCAATACGGAGCGTTTTACCCAGCCTGACAATATGCAGTAATGCCGATGTCAGGGCCTGTCAACCTGTCATCCATGTTTCTCAGCCCAGCATGGCAAAACAAGAGGGGTGGCATTTCACGCTAGCTCCCAAATCCGTGTTACCGACCTCAAGGCCCGTCCAGGTGGTAACAAAAGTGGACATTCAGCGAACAACCAGGCTGGATTCTCATGGTCTGAATACGGATGTTTCCACTAAACCACGACTCATGCCCTCAATCCACTATGGTCTGGATTCACGGTGAATTCGCGCGTTTTTGGTTTAGTTTCAACCGCGTTAGTGTAACTGTAAAACTTTAAATGAATTCCATTCAAAACCAGCCCTCTTCCCACCAAGGAGAAATCGTAGCCCTGCCACGAACCGTACGACAGGCGCGCGGGCATTACTGAATGTAGCCTTAGAGCCATGTCACCATAAATTAGGTAAGGAGCCGAAGCCGACGATAACGGGCCGTGGCTAGCGTCAGTTCTCGAGCGAAAAGACCGCCTGCAACACGATATCACATCACCACCTGGGGCATTCCAATATCGACTGTTCCGCTGACTCCGCGTTCTTGGCTTAACTCCGGCAAATTAGACTGCAGATTTGCGACATGGAGTCTCACCAAGGTTGTCAGGAGGGATACCGAGTGGGAGTAGCGGGTTTCTGATTGACACTAGACTCTCGACCTCTTAGAAGACGACACCCAAACATGCCGAGGGGGTAAGGCGGATAGATTGAGGGATTTGAACATGTCTCCTCCTATGGGATCATCGCCCGTGGCCAGCCTTCACCCTCGCATCCCTTGTGACCCTTAATCCTTATTGACCTTCCGATTTGGGTTTCTTATTATCATCACAAGCAAGACCCTAATACCCAAATTTCCGTACAAAAAGCACCTGGCTGCTGGACTACATGTACGGGAAGCTGTTTCCTTCGCTGTCCATCTCATTCTCCAGAATCATCCAACAGGATCATCCTTTCACACACAACTTATACCAAAATGCACAGTGTTCTTTCTGTCGGTGCGGCCCTTGCCGTCATGATCCAGGGAACGAACGCAGCTGCAACCAGTGCCGTTGCTACTTGGTACGGTGGAAACTTGAATGGAGGAAACTGCCTATTCTCTGGCTACACACTGCCCTCCAGCGTGCTTGGTACCGCTCTATCATACACCAACTACAACGGCAACTGCGGCACTTGCCTTAACGTCAAGGGTCCCAAGGGAACTATCATCAAGGTGATGGTGGGTTCACCAAATGCGGTCATTCGATGAATTCAACTGACAGGGATGTAGGTCGTCGACAAGTGCCCTCAAGGCTGTGGAGCCGGGCAGCTTGATCTCTTCCCCGATGCGTTTGCCAAGCTTGACGATCCCAACAAGGGTGAGATTAAAGTGCAGTGGGAACAAGTCCCGTGCGGGATCACCACGCCCATAGTTGTCCGCAATAAGGAGGGCACTTCTAAGTGGTGGTACGTTCCTCTTTATTATCTTTCTGCCCATCTCTCAATTAAACCTCACACCCGATGCAGGTTCTCCATGCAAGTCATGAACCACAACTATCCCGTCACCAAGTTCGAAGTCAGTGCCGACGGCGGCAAAACCTGGCAGAGTACCGTTCGCCAAGACTACAACTACTGGCAGAAAAGCAGTGGTGATGGCTTCAACGTTGACACTGTCAGCGTCCGTGTCACTTGTAGCAACGGGAAGCAAGTTGTGATCAACAACGTAGGCACCACTGAGAAGGCGCAGTTCAAGGCTTCTGGCAATTGCTGAGCGGCAAGACTCGCACTTGTCACCACAGGTCTGCGCATCGGTTCTGGTGACAATCCAATAAGCCCAAAGTGGACATGCATCTAGTCTGTACATAATTTTATCTTCCTCGTACATAATGAGTTGACACAAATACTAAGCACGCTTCCATGTGCTATCCCCTCTAAGATCACGTTGCGTTGCAATACGTTAGGCCCTCACATGCTGCAAGACCAGGACTTCGTACAAAGTCTCAACTCAAGCTACCTATCAATACGAGAGCAGACCAGTCGTCTCGCAAGCGGGCATGAATGTACGTATCAATTGAAGCCGAGAGCCGGAATTTGAGGACTGTTGTCAGTCCGAAGTGTTCCCAACTAGCTCTAATTCGGAAAGCAAACCCGTACCGCGGAGCCCCGAACCCAGGCGTGCGGGATGAGGGGCCGAGGTTGCGAAAAGCCTGGCTCCTTTTTCGGCGCAGCAGACCGAGCCGCCCGACAGGCCTAAGCCCTGTAATCATTGGGCGCCCCATCATCAACTGATAGTTGATACCGTTTGGTACTGCCTCTGAGAGCCACGAAGTAACTTACACATGACTGACTACGTCTGAAAGATACTTGAGATGACCTGTTCAAAGTTGAATGCAGGAGGACGACGTGCGGATTTCAATACTAGGCTATGTGCACTGAACAGCGGTATCGGTAGAACATGACTTTAGACTTGTCCTCTGAGTACAAGGGTGCGCTAGTTCAGATGCAAAATCGAACTGGGGCGAGCCACGACAGGTGTGGCTCGTTAACATTTAGCGGATGATCAGTTTCTGATAGCGCACACGGTGACACGGTCGCAATCCCACCGACCCCATTCACTGCTTGTGATGCATCATGCTGCCAGTTGATAGCCGCGCTTTACCTTGTGAACACCTGTATGACTAGAGATTCATGGTATCGCCGCTGAAGTTGTCATCATGACCGGCGGAGGGATAAGTCCCATCAATTCGGCGGAGAACGAAGCCGATCATGGAAACGCAAGTGCGCGGGGCAAACGGTCAAGCAACGCGTAAGTCCCCTTGCTGGATCTCGTGCAACGCGCACGCTCCTTGGAATCTTAGGCTGAAGTTATCAAGCTGCCTAAGGTGTCGTGAAAGAAAGGTCAAGTGCTCGGGCTCGGAGCCTTGCACAAACTGCATCCGTCGCGCAACCGAGTGCGTTTTCGATAGGGAAGACAGAAAAGTGGTGGTATCTGAGAGGTCGGCGGCTACCGTCCCCTGCCCGTGATCCCCTCTAACCGGAATCGAAGGTTTCTAAATGAACTCAAACGCAAGTCCGGGTATGGCATCGATGATAATCTTCAGGCCTCGCCAACGACTAAGCGATCTCGGGTAAATCGATCAACTTCTCTTGTGGACGAAGACGGACGTCGTGGTGAGTATGGCCACTAGTTCTATGTTACTTGAAGCTACTGAGGCATGTTAGATGCACAACAAAGCCCTACTCCAGCGGGAGATTTTGGGACATATGATCGAGCATTGACGCAAGATGTGTTCGTGGTGGATGATGGCACGACTGTTGTGGGCGGTGGCGACCTCGATGAGCGGCGTCATGGAGGCTTTCCTGTTATGCGAAATCCCCTTGCAAGTGGTCCATCTAGGTTCTTAACAGATTCAAACGGGAGAAGGCGTGAGTTTATGGAACACACTTTATGGAAACAACTAACTAACTTGCTTCAGGATGGCTTGGCCCTTCATCAACTTGGGCGTACAGCCGACAGGTTCTGAGCATGATCCAGGGGTATCTTGGCCAACATGAGTCACCAGAGCTTCCATTGAATGTTGACGCGCAAGCGTTCAAGCTAGACTGGCCATCCTCCCGAGAAGTTCTTCCGCGTCCTACAGTCGACATTCCGTCTCTCGATTACGCCCTCTATCTCACCAATACTGTCAAGTTTCACCTTGGCCAGACGTACCATCTATTTGACGAAGACTCTTTCATGCATGGGTTATATGACTTTTATAGGAAAGGTCCCAACACAGAGCCCAAGGCAGATGATCGATTATGGTACATCCAGTTTCTTCTCATCATGGCTTTCGGCAAAGCTTTACTCGTGCCAGGAACGCCAGATCAAAGTCCTCCAGGCAGCAGTCTTGTCACCAGAGCCCTTGAACTTCTGCCCGATGCCCACGGTCTCTATCAAGACCCGGTATTGTCCGTGGAGATACTATGCTGTCTCGCTCTATATTTGCAGTCTGTTGATCATCGCAACAGTGCTTACACCTATGTAAGTCAAGCATCTCTATCTGACGGGTGTCCTTGCTCATGACATAGGCAGATAGGCCAGGCTTTTCGTATCGCCATGACACAGGGACTGCATCGTGAGCCTCTTCCAGGGCTCCTGACCGAGACAGAGGCCAACAGGTTGCGGTGCATTTGGTGGACAGTTTACATTTTGGATCGAAAGCTGTCATCGTTGATGGGCGCCCCGAACTCGATTCAGGACAGCGATATCACTGTTCACCTACCTCGGTCAGACCCGGTTGTACAGAAGTATAAGGCTTTGAGTCTTCATGTGGTTCTTTCGAAGCTCCATGCCAAGGTTTTAAACAGTGAGGCCTCTTCCGCAGACATTCAGCTTGAGCGGAACTGAAAATCTCATAGCCGTCTATGGGGTCGACGGCAAGCTCGACCCTTCATTTCTGAAAAATGTCCAAGAAGTTCTCAGAGACATGGCGAGACTCGCTCCACAACTAACAGCAGGATTTGAGTTTAAATTAAACAACTCGGAGCCTGCCTCGCGAGTCTCCGCGACCCTCAACCTGTGTTACCATCAGGTATTTCGTCATCACCGTCCAGTATCTATTTCAATTCATCTCACATCCATAGTGTGTGGTCCTCGCAACACGACCTCTTTTAATGTGTCTACTACAAGATGTTCTGGCAAGAAAGGATCATTCCCAACGAAATCTGGCAAGTCCGATCAAGGCGCTTCTAAAGACATCTTCCGATTCAGCGACCAAGTCTCTTCGCATACTGTCAACGTTGAAAACTCAGCATCTTCTCGGTAAGTGAACTTCGATTTATCACCAGTCTTTCTGTCAGTAGACTAAATATCTGCAGAAACATTTTTGCCATTCGACCTGGAACAGACTTTCTCATCTACGTTTGTACTCACGCTCATGACTTCCATTCCAGGCCTTCCCGACCGAGAGGGCAACCATTTGAAGGATGCCTTCGAAATCCTGGACACGATGATTGCTCGTGGCAACGTTGTTGCTAGATTCCGGAGAGAGGAGCTAGAAAAGCTGCAAGAGATACTTCGTTTGACACAGTCGCGGGTTGAAAGGCCGGTAGCAGCATCCGAAAGAAACGACGGACATTTGATGATGAACTCGCGCGGAGGTTCGGATGATGGGCTTCTCCAGGACCGTGGTCCACCCACCGGCAGCACGGCCAATGGCCTGGCATCCGAGCAGATGTTGTCCATTGCGGGACTGTTAGACTGGGAACCGAACACGTCTACGTTTGGCGACGATCAGCTTGCGGGAAGCTGGCTATGGACAGATACGATTACGCAAGACTTCGACTTCGGCGTGGGCCTTCTATGATAGGCACTCAAACATGCCATCGGATGATTCATCCCGAAATCTGTTAGCTCAACGGAACAATAGCCGATGTCAAATGACGAATGCGCCATTATTAAATAGCAAGCAAGCTTCTAAGACAAGGGTAGAACAACTGGACTTTGCGGAGATATCATGGAGGTTTCAAGAGGACGCAACTTGTGGTGTAGTCCATGAGCAGTAACTTCTTTCTAGTTTGGGGCACTTTCGACGCGACCTTACCATTTCGTGTCAGAAGACATCCCGTTATCAACTCAAGCAGTACATCCACGACTAGTATCAGATCAGCTTCAGATAGGGGCTTGTCCGAGTCAGCGGGTTATCTGGCACAAGCGCAAGCGCGGGACGGCGACCCGAGGGCTCTCGCCGCGTTCCCCAAGCTTCGGGACCCACTACCGAACTATTACCCCGGACCCACGGGGTTGAGATAATGACCAAGGTTGGAATGTCAAAGACTAGCTAAGAGAAGCCACGAAGGTCTGTGTCTTTAGTATAACTCCTGATGTCCCAATTCAATGGTTCAGCCTATAGGGCCCCAAAGGCTAGAGCTGCGTCCCAGCCTTCGTCCTAAAGTACAACTCAATTGCACGAGAAGCCACCAGCCTCAGTCTTCCCACCTTCCATCAACCCGGTACTGTTTTTACTTGAAAATTGGCGACAAAATCGAATCATGGGCGAAGAGAAACTGGAGCCCGCAGCCATGGAAGGCCTGTCTCGCCAACAAAGCGCAAAGGTTGGCGAGGTGCAGGATCCGGCAAACCAACCAGGCCATGACCTACACAAACGTCTTGAGACTCGTCATGTTACCATGATTGCCTTGGGCGGCGCGCTTGGAACAGGTTTACTTATTGGAACGTGAGTCTCATCCTGTACCTCTTGTCAGCTAGAGATTTCCGACTCTTGATAACACTTACCCAGTGGCTCTGCTCTCGTCAAGGCAGGCCCTGCTGGAATACTCATAGACTATTCCATCGTCGGTTGCATAGTATTCCTCGTCATGGCGGCGCTCGGCGAGATCATCTCTTATATGCCGCTATCCCATGGTTTCGGTGGTTATGCAACCCGCTTCGTCGACCCTGCGCTGGGCTTCGCCACCGGTTACTCCTACTTCTTCAAGTACCTCCTCGCAACTCCGAACCAACTCTCCGCATTCGCTCTCATCATGAAGTTCTGGGTTGGCGACCGCGTTAGCCCGGCCGTCTTCATTACCATCGCCCTCGTCCTCATCCTCGCTATCAACAGTATCAGCGTTAAGGCTTTCGGCGAGTTCGAATTTTGGTTGTCTTCCTTGAAGGTGCTGATAATGGTTGGTGTCATTCTCCTGCTCTTCGTTCTTACAGTTGGTGGCGGCCCGACCGGTGATCGCCCTGGGTTCAGGTACTGGTCCAATCCGGGAGCATTTGCGGAATACAAGGTCGATGGTGACAAGGGCCGGTTGCTTGGTGTATGGAGCGCGATGGTCGCAGCTGTGTACGCCTTCTCTGGTACCGAGCTCGTGGGTGTCACCGTTGGCGAGGCCAAGAATCCGCGACTGAGCATGCCGAAAGCCATTCGCCTTACCTTCCTCCGCATCGTCTTCTTCTATGTGATCTCGGTCTTTTTGCTGGGACTCGTTGTTCCCTATAATAGCCAGGACCTTGCTTTTGCTGCGGGTGCGAAGACTAGTGCCGCTGCGTCTCCGTTTGTCGTGGCCATCAAGATCGCAAAGATCAAAGGCCTTGACCATGTCATTAATGGCTGCTTGGTGGTCTTTGTCTTCTCAGCTGCCAACTCCGACATCTACATCTCGTCTCGGACGCTGTATGGCATTGCAATCGATGGGAAGGCACCTCGAATATTCACTCGCACGACGAAGGCTGGAGTTCCTTTCGTATCTCTGGCTCTTTGCGGCGCGTTCTGTGGCTTTGCATACATGTCTGTCAGCTCCAGCGCTGCGACGGTGTTCAACAACCTTACCAGCATCGTCACGGTATTTGGTGAGCACTGCAACACGCTGATTGACTGCAAGCATACTAACTAAGCTAGGGCTTCTCACCTGGATTTCTACCCTAATCTCCCATATCTTCTTCTGTCGGGCCCGCGAGGCCCAACAAATCGACCCCGCCTACATCCCATACCGTGCCCCTTTCGGTACGTGGGGGTCGTACATCGCTCTCGGCTTTTTGATCGTCCTCACCCTCACGAAAGGCATCGAGGTATTTGTTGGCACATTCGATTATAAGAGTTTCATCGTGCAGTACATTGGTATCCCCGTCTATCTTATTTGCATCTTCGGCTACAAGATTGTCAAAAAGTCGCACCGTGTTCAAGCCGAAGCTGCGGATCTGGTAACTGGGGTACCGGAAGAAACAGTCGCAGAAGAAAGGGCAGCAGTTGAGGCAGTGAGGAAAGAGAAGGAGGCGACGTCGGGGAAGAGGGGCGTTTTTGCCAAGATCTACCGCAAAGCCTTTGCCTGGTTGTTTTGAGATAAATTTCCGAACGAAGTGTCACATTGTAATTTAGATTGACAAATGACCATCGCAAACATGTCAGATGCGACCTTATCAATATCCACCTCCCCGCAGCATGTGTGTGTGACCTATGTTGGTCCAGTACTGTAGGGATTGGGAAGATGATGAGACAGTGTACGCCTGAAAATCTCCATAGGTGAAATGGCCCGTAGAGCCTGCTCCAGCATTTTAAAGAAACTCACGGCCCTCTACGTACGCAGAGGCAAAGAAATCCCAATGAAATATAGCTTCATGGCGCTTCTCTGTGACGATTACGACTGGTTCAAAGAACGAATGCTAGAATTGGCGGAATGATTGTGTTGCGACGCAGGAAGCCGGCACTCGCCTCAGCCTTGGCTCCGGCGGAGTCGGACTCTACTCCGAAGTGGACTGGGTCGCCGTGCCCACAGTATCTGGGTCGTTTCCCCTCTGATGCTTGTTCACCCCATGCAGCCGCCTTGCCTGCCGGTTCCCCGGTGGTTTAGCGATTGGACCATGGACCTGCGGCTGGAACCTCGTGCCCGAAAGGCATTTGCTGATCACGGTTTAGCAGGTAGTCCCAACGCAAGACCTGCCACTTACAAACGGAAACAGTGCCACATATGCCTGCCATCTTACGAGGCCCTTGTCTCGGTCAGGCTGTCACAGTCTCATTCGCTCCCATACCAGGGGAGTCTTCCTCATGGAGAAGGCATGGCCGTTAAAGAAGGATCCAGTAAACTGCAGGTCGTTGCAAACATGCAGAGCATGCACAGTGGGCGCAAAGCCAAGAAGAGGGGCTGGATGAGAAAGAAGATAAACGCTCTTGTCCCACGAAACCTATCAACAAGTTTTCTCCGTGGCTTTTCAAACTCCGAAAGGAACACTCATTTTGCACGAAGGACCAAATTCTCGAGGAAGATTGGGAAAACCTTTTGCTGCGCCCAACATGATTGCCCCTGAGCAAGTGACGGCGCAGCCCAACACTGCCATTGACCATGAAGTTGCCATTGCGGCCGAAGATTACGTACGGCCGTTTCATCCAAATACTTTCTCCATCCTGCGACTCGCTAACAGACCCAACAGGACGACTCTGCGTCGGAATACGCTCCTGTGAATAGCATCAAAGCGGCATTTGCTGTGAAGACAACTCAATGACCTCAATTAGCACAGCGTAGCTTCCTCAAGCACCAGTGTGACCAGTTCGATATTGGAGTACCGACTGGAGAACGGACGAACCTATCACGGATATAAAGAGGGCAGTACGTTCAAGCTGCCGACCGATGTATTGCACTAACAGTTCAACTGATGAATTCCGCAGAGTATATGATGCCTAACGATGACAAAGAAGTCGAAAGACTGGGTGAGCATTCCACACCTCCTTGCACTTGAACTTCCTTTTCTAACTTAGGCTAGATCTGCAGCATAATCTCTTCTTGCACACATTTGAGGGTCGGCTGGCAACTGCACCACCAAACGAACCTGGGGCCAAAGTGGGTAGAGTCCTCGACGTCGGCACTGGAAGTGGTATTTAGGCCATGGATTTCGGCGATGAACACCCGGAGGCTGAGGTTAGTCTCATCTGTTGTTATAGCAGGCATGAGGGGTTCTCACTGCTATTAGGTCCGCGGGTTTGACCTATCTGCTGTGCAGCCAGAGTTGTGAGATTGCTACCTTCTTCAGTTGTAGTTGAGTTGACAACTAACAAGCCTAGTACACCTCCGAATGTGAAGTTTGAGATAGACGATCTTGAAGAGCCGTGGAACTACTCGCGCCCGTTTGATTGTATTCATAGTCGAATGATGAATAGGCCAATTGCTGATTGGAGTGAATACTTCAAGAAGTGCTACGAGTCAGTGCTAGCCGTCTTCGGCACCAGTTCAGGTCCTTTTACGATCAAACACTAACAAAGCTAACAGCAACTTGAATCCTGGCGGATACTTTGAGCTCATCGAGCCTGTTGTTACAGTCATTTCTGACGATGGGACTGTCAAGCCTGAACATACGGCTGTCAGAACTGGCGAACTCCTGATTGAGGCTACAGCGAAGGCTGGCCGCAAGTATACGTATATCCCAACCCTGAAGCCCATCTTGATGGAAGCAGGTTTTGAGTACGTGACTATGCAACATTTCAAGTGGCCAACGAATCCTTGGCCAAAAGACAAGAAATTCAAAGAACTGGGCTATTGGCACAACGAAAACCTCTTGGAGGGCTGGGAAGCTATTTGCATGGCACCGCTAACGAGGGCTCTTGGCTGGACTAAGGAGGAAGTTCAAGTTCTCATGGCCCAGAACCGCAAGGAATTCAATGACCGCAGTATCCATGCGTATCATTCGATGTAAGTTTCACCTGCAAATCTTTCGAGACTGATTGCTGACTGGCGTTTCTTAGCTGGACCATCTATGGTAGAAAGCCTTTCAAGACGGATGATGACGCCTAGGTCACCAATGGAAAGGAGAAGCCTTCTGCTCTACGTGTTCACGAGTTCTTGGTGATTCATAGATGTCATGGTAGGTGCTTATCACGTAATTAGTCCCGTAGCCTCAAGAACAGTACCTGGTCTATGATACAACAGCAACATGCAATACATTAGAAGTAAGGCCTGAGAGAGCCTGGCCTCCACTGTCAGGTTTTTCGTGCGCTATGTGATTTTGCCAATCCCTCCATTCCTTTTCTGAAACTTTGGGCATCTTGACTTCTGTAGATCCAATCCATAAGCGCAGGCTATCGTTTTGACACAGAGAACAGTCTGGACAGTGTGTCCGTATGTCCATCTTGGCATCGTGGAGGCGAACTGGCCCAGCCCGGCTGGACGTCCACAAAGGTCAGGTTGTTGGTTGGCTTGTTACGTCTTGAGCTTTCTCTTGATTGGGCAAATATCCTGTAATTGGGCCCACCTTGCCGAAGAAGAGCATTTACTCGTCGCGGTTTAGGAGATTTCCATAACCAAGCAAACTCGACAGAAAGGTGACCAGACCTGCATGCAGTGACATGAAACCCTGTCAATGCTTGCATGTCATATCTTGGTCATTCGCTTCGTTACGAGGAGCGAACCACTCTTGCAGATGCCCTGCACCCTTGACCACCTTTTCGACTGTCGCAAACATGCAGAACGGATCAGCCAAGAAGAGGGGGTGAACGATTGACATGTTAAGTCCCCGTTCTCACTCAGTACTTATGTCTCTGTACACCATTCAAGTCTGCGGGAAGGCTTGGAGCGACGTCTTTTCGAGTGTTTGAACTTTACCAATCTGTCAAACCACTAACAATCCAGCTCACGTCCGTCCGCTATGCCCTCCAGTCCTGCGGCTGATGCTCCACGAGGAGCGTCACCAAATGCTCAGCCTACCGATCAACCAAACACGATCACTGATCATGAGGTCACTATTGCGGCCGACGAAGCTGTAAGACCATCATCGCATCACTTCAAACACGACTGATTGCTGAACACACGTAGGCTGACCCCGAAACCGATGGTGAGACTGTAAGAAACGAGGTTTGGTCATTCTCTTATGCAGACAACTCAACTGACCGACCATGTTTAGCAAAGCATCTCATCGTCCACGGCCAGTGTGACTAGCTCCATATTTGACTATCGAGTAGAGAATGGACGGACCTACCATCGCTACAAGGATGGAAGTATGTGCCAAATTTTCGAGTTCCGATGCCTTTTCTGCTTTTGAATCGTCAATTCTTCCTGACATATTGTGTTTCCCGGCGGACATCTCGTCCATCATTCTGCTGACGCATGGTATTATTGATTATATGAAGTGCTAACTAGTCATTGCTCAGAGTATCACATGCCCAATGACGAAAGAGAGCAAGACCGTCTTGGTAAATATTTCCATCAATTCTGTTGAGCAGGGTCTCTGCATATAGCATACTAATCAAATCATCAGATCTGCAACACAACATGTTCGTTCAAACATTTGATGGCAAACTCGGCACGGCGCCACCGAACCAGCCGGGGGCCAAGGTTGGAAGGGTCCTCGATGTCGGGACAGGTACCGGCATCTGGTGCATGGACTTTGGGGACGAACACCCTGAAGCAGAGGTAAATCGCCCTTTTCAGCACGGAATCTCCAACTTACTGACATATTGTCTTTCAAATAAGGTTCGAGGCATCGATTTATCAGCGGTGCAGCCAGAATTGTACGTGTCCAGCCCACAGAAGCAGCCGCAGAAATGCAGGGCAACTGACTCTGGCGTGCAGCACCCCTCCAAATGTGAAGTTCGAAATTGATGACCTCGAGGATACCTGGATCTACTCACATCCCTTCGAATACATCCACAGTCGAATGATGAACTCATCCATTAGCGACTGGAAGGAGTATATTCAAAAATGCTATGAGTAGATATTTCCCGCATAGTATACTGTTCCCTGCTAACTCTTCCCTCAGCAATTTGACCCCTGGTGGCTACTTAGAACTTAATGAGGTGGACATTCTCTGTCTATCGGATGACGGTAGCCTCACCCCTGAGCACTCGATCTCAAAGACGGCCAGGTTGCTGCAAGAGGCAACGGAGAATCTCGGACGCAGATACCAAGATATTCGAGATCTCAAGCCTATTTTGATGGAGGTTGGCTTCGAAGACGTTGTGATGCAGCGGTTCAAGTGGCCCACAAACGACTGGCCGAAAGACCCGAGATACAAGGTGCTCGGACAGTGGACGAATGAGAATCTCCGCGGCTGGGAGGCAATCTGCATGGCGCCGCTGACTCGAGGGCTGGACTGGACCAGAGAGGAAGTCATTGTGTTGATGTCCGAAAATCGACGGGACTTCAACGACCGAAGCATCCATGCTTACTTTTCCATGTAAGTCACCCCCATTCCTATTGCGCTGCCATAATGTACACCATTTCTGACGCTGCTAAGTTGGTCGATCTACGGACGGAAGCCTCTGAAGACCAGAGAAACCGAAAGCCAGGCCTGATACTTTCATGCACATGAATCAGCTGGTCTATGTAACAAAAGATCACCAATTTGCATGTCATTCACCAGGCCGACCTCTACGAGCACTGTCACATGCGTGTAGTTCTAGTGGTATAGGCATGCTATAATTTACATATCGTAGACCCATAACAACCATTATCAAGAGGTTTTTCGCGATCTTTGCTACGAGTAGCCTCCTTTCAGCCCTGGTGTTGCACGCCGCACGCGGCAAGCCCAGGAATGGAAATTACGGTGAACCAACAATAGGTCGATTTTCATTCTCTGGGGTGCGTGAGCAAACTTGGCAGACATGTCGGTGGGCTCAGTGCCCTTGCCACATATTGATCATGCTTCCTTCGTTGCAAACATCCATGTTCCAACAGGACCCCCGCCCGCATGAGGTGCCCAGCGTATCACAGTCACCATTCGCCACCACGCGTGGAGGTCCCAACAATTGCGGCGACATACATGCACAAGGCCTCGTTCAGCTGCACGTAAATCACATATTGATTAAGAGAAAAGAGGGGTAATATATTGTCAGCAAAATGTCATAAATCTCAGTTCAGTCTCTCCGGCTTGATTGGGTGCGGCCACCGCGCGCAACGGGTTCCGCACTCACAGAGGCACTGGCATTGAGTTTCTCAATTTTGATGACGACAACTCTCATCTTCCAACATGTCGAGTTCCGAATACCCTGCTACGGATACGAGCGGAACGCACCCAGCCGTTCCACATAATATTATCGACCATGCAGTCACGATTGACGCTGATGATGAGGTATTGAGCTTACCACTGATGATTCGTACGACTTGATAACTAAATCGTCGTAGAGAGATAGCGCATTATCAATCGACGACGTGAGGATCAATGGTGCTTCTCTTGTTGAGCAACGTGCTAAGCAAGAGGTTTCCTGTCCAGCGAAGTCTAGTTTCACCCACCGGAAGTGTGACCGCCTCCATCCTCGATTACAGAATTGAGAATGGCAGAACCTATCATCGGTACAAAGACGGCAGTGAGAGTTTTTATTCGATTACGAGATACGGACAGTGCTGATCGGAACTTCGCTTAGAATACAACTTGCCCAACGATGACCGCGAAAACGAAAGACTCGGTATGGAGCATCAAAGCAAAGTACAGCTGCTATCAATGACATCTGACCTGCACTCTAGATTTGCAGCATACCATGTTTCTGCTCACCTTCAACGATAAGCTAGGGAATGCACCTCCGAATAATCCTGGAGCAAAGGTTGGTCGTGTCCTTGATGTTGGCACGGGTACAGGAATTTGGGCTATCGATTTCGCCGATGAGCACCCCGAGGCTGAAGTTCGCGGCATCGACTTATCTGTGGCCTTTCCGGAATAGTGAGTCACTCGCAGATTGTGATACTGTTGATACCAATTCTGATAGTGCACCCTCCAATGTCAAGTTTGAGATCGCCGATTTAGAGGAACAATGGACTTTTTCCAGGCCTTTTGACTACGTTCACAGCAGGATGATGAACTCCTCGGTTAGCAACTGGAGGGAATATATTCAGGAGTGCTACGAGTCAGTCTGGACTTCTAGTCGTGCAATCATTCATGCTAACCAGAACGTAGCAATCTTAGTCCCGGTGGCTATTTAGAACTCAACGAGATCGACTTGATGGCACTCTCAGACGACGGAACATTGAAGCCAAACCATACACTCCTGAAAGCAAGCCACTTAATCCAGGAGGCTCTGCGGATCATTGGCCGTCCATATCAAGACATCAAGGAGCTCAAATCCGTGCTAGCCGATGTTGGGTTCGTCGACATTATCTTACAGCAATACAAATGGCCTACCAACAGTTGGCCGAAAGAAAGACGCCACAAGGAATTGGGTGTCTGGATGAATGAGAATCTTCATGAAGGCTGGGAGGCCATCTGCATGGCGCCACTGACCAGAGTCCTTGGCTGGACCAGGGAGGAGGTGGAGGATCTGGTGGCACAGAATCGTCAGGAACAAGATGATCGGAGTATTCACGCATACTACTCGATGTAAGTTCAGCATGTCTCAAACCACAGCGAAATGAAATTTCTAACAAAAGTCATCAAGCTGGTCTATCTTCGGAAAGAAGCGGGAGGACAGGGTTCGTATGACATGAAAGGCATTCGTCAAAAGCGATCATGGAGGTTGGGCGCTGACTGAGTGGTATGACTTGCTGCGTCCCACAATGTGTTCCTATGTTTCAACTTGGGGTAGGTCAAGAAGAGTCACCAACGTAGATAATATACCCTATGTCTTCGAAGACATATCACTAACAAGGGCATCGTTGGCTCACAGGCATCGCAGTCCTCCTAACATCTTACTTACTTCGCAGCTATCCTTCCTTATCATCGCTGCCAAAGGAGTATTGCTCAGGGCGTTCTCAGGGTATTTGTACACCTCGCTACGTCGGATCACTTAGTAGAATATCCGAAGTATGTGGAAATACAGGTAGCACAAACAGAGTCAGAACGCAAGCTCCAGGAGCCCAATGCTTTTCATTGTCCTCTTCCAGAAAGAAATGTTAAACTGGTTCAACCATTTATTTGAAGTTATTTTGGAAGAGTCGAGACATCAAAGGATGCGGCGCTCGTCCTAGGTGAAATGCTGATTGACGACACCTCAATATTGTAGTCCCTCTTACCGCCAAACAGCCTATTTCCGGATACGGCCCGGTATATAAACTGGTTTCCGCTGCATCTCATGAGATTTTCAAGCAATCCGTTCGTTGGTTGGACCAGGGTTATGCAGCCCGAGATTATGGTGTCTACTGCAACAGATGTTCCGCTGTCCACTGCCCAGCCTACCTGGCTGGTAGCCATCACACGAAACACTCACGTTGCTCGCCATTGTACCTCGTTCCCGTTGTGTGAGTATACGAGAGCCATGCAATGTATTAAGCATGAGCTCGTTGGCACGTATTGAAAGAGGACCAACTAAATGAAGTCCGACACCGCCCAAGCCGTGGGCCAACCCCCAAAGCTCAATTCGGAGCAGTAGTAACACACATACATGGACGATGATTTTCGTGCATGGACAGGAGAAAGACTAGCACCATGAGACGGATATTTATAAGTGCGTACAGCAATATCTTGGCCGGCAAAAACGGTAGTACACCGACATGGAGTTAAAGGTATCAGCTGCTCAGTATCTCGCCGTCCTGGACCATCAGCATTGGCAACAAGCTACGCGAGGACATGAGCATATACAAACTACCCTTGAAAATGTGCAGACTGACGTTTGACTTAGCAATGCAAATCGATTTGTAGTCGGTCGAGTTGGAGCATCTTCGGGCAATGGCTGATGTTAACAAGTCTTTGTCTTTCATTCTTCTTCCTTCAATAAGTCAAAGCACCCACTTTTCGACCACCCCTGCTTTTCGACCGCCATGAATTGACGCCATCGCAACCACCACCACTTTATTCAATTAATTATCAACTACCTCTTGAAGCCACAATAATGCAACTTTCGGCCTCACTGGGTAATTCAGATGCGCTGGATTCATCTGAATCATTTTCAGCTTCGCCAGCCTCAATCTGGGCTTGCCGTATCTCTTTGATTGTCGCAAACTTCGTATTTGGGTCCAACTGAACAGCCTTCCTCTTCCTGCTAGCAGTGTTGGCAACCTTGGCCTCTAGAAGCTCTATCTTTTGCTGGGCGGTGGCTAGGGCAAAGGAATGCTCTTGGAAGCCTTTTTTTACCTTCCTGAAGAGCTGGCGTTGTGTGGCGATGTTTGTTCTAGTTGGCTGAATATATGTAGTTGGTCCCCTAGGTCCTTCACCTTCCTTGGCGTAGACCACTTCACAGCAGATGAGGCTGACGCCCAGCCCTCTATACCATGGGCATCCTGGGCTATATGTTTATCTCTGGCAACCTTGTTGAGTGGTGTTGATGGTGTTGTTGTTGATGATGTTGCCTTCTGAACCAGCAGCCCATTCATAAGCGGCTTTGCAATAGCAACAGGCCATAACCCAGTGTATTTCCAGCCACTCTTGATATTGCCTGCAGTCAGCCCAGCTAGGCGAGCCTTTTGATAGCAGGAAATGAAGTTCCTTTTGCCTATAACAGTAGAGTCGATCCACTGACTAAGATATCCCAGCTCTTTCCTATATGCTGCCTTGACAGGGCTGAAGACTGACTGGTCAAGTGGCTGGAGGACATAGGAGGTATGTGGAGGCAAGAATAACAGATAGATGTTATTGGTATAGCATAACCACATAAAATCTGTCGTCGTATGGCTCCCATGGCCATCTAGGATAAGGAGTCTAGCTTGGTTAGGGCTAGAGGACTTGGTTTGGGGGATAAAGACCCTTTCTAACCATTCAACAGCAGTAGCATCAGTAGTCCACCCATTCTCTGTTGATATGAACTCCCATCCATCATATGGGCCAAGTTCTAGAGGAAACCACTGCTGTTAAACTGTCTTGCCCTTATATATAACCAAGGGATGGATAGCAGCGCCCCCAGCTGATATACACTCAATAATAGATACCCAGGCTCGCGAACCAGGCTGCTTCTTCCTTACTGACTTAGTCGCAGCACTGCCTAGCACTAGCCCATTATCCCCTTTACCCTCAAGGATACCAGTCTCATCCATATTATATCTGTTGGCTGGTTTGATGGCCTGGATGTGAGGTATGGCGAGATATTTGAACCAGTCCCTGATAACCTCAGTAGATGCCCCATTAACACGCCTCAAATCAATAGATCGACTTCTCTGGACCTTGATAGATGGGTTTCTTCTTATAAAGCCATCTACCCACCTCTTGCCAAGAGGTTGGGTGTCCCCCATAGCTTGGAGGATGCGATGGGCGAAGTCCTTCAGTTGTTGATGGGTTGGTGGCAGCCCAAGGTCTGCCTGGGCAGTCACCCAAGTGGCCAGGCTGGCCTCCTGGCCAGCAGAGAGCCTCTGGAGGTCTTGAAATGCTTCTTGCCTTGGTTGGTGGCCTTTGGTACGGCTTATAAGCGTTGATCGTGGCACACCCCATCGCTTGGAGGCAGTGCGAGTAGATATACCATTTTTGATGTCGTTAAGCGCCTGGATAACCTCATTTTCGGTATACTGTTTCATTGTATAATAAAAAAGATATTCTGAAAGAATGATGGAAATTGATGAAGGATTGAAAATGTTGTGGTAGTTTGAAAATTGGGTATAGTAGTTAATGGGGTGGCTGGGCGGCATTTTATGGGTGGTCGAAATGCAGGGGTGGTCGAAAAGTGGGTGCTTTGACTTAACCGGTATCTATGCAAATTGCAAAAGCTCCTCGTTTGTTCATACCGACATCCCTCACTTCCACTGTCATGTTGCGAGTATTCTTAATACGATGTGGAGTCTTGTCAGACTTCGGAGTCAAACCCTGGGAGGCGTATTTCGTTGCGGTCTTGTGGTATCCATTGCTACACGACACACACAATTCACATAGTAGAATCATGTCCAGCCCTTGATTGATTATACATACCTTTCAATGCTACGTCATAGTTGAAAGACTGTCTCATGTGTTCTCACCCCAAAAGACGTTCTGCCAGCGCACAGACTGGGGGTCCTTCCGAAAGAAGTCATGGTAAGATGGTGACCTTTCAGGGACTGCAACAACCTGTAAAGTGCCAACTATTCAAAATCATCAAGAATTCATCATCTGATTCCTCAAGGCCATTTAAAAGATTTGTGCTTATCTGTTGCGGCACAATTCAAAACAAGGGAATATGCTCTCAAAGCAAAGCGATGAAACCCAGGCTCTTCAACTTCACTGCTACCCATACCGCCATCTCTCCGATCCAGGGACTGCCAAAGCTGTATCGACTTTGGTCCTCATCTCTACTCAACACTCCCTCGCAAGTATTCGATACGTATACTCCCGGAACTTCTCAATTGACGCATCACGCCGGCCTGTGCTAGGATAGCACCAAAGACGAAGACCGAACAAAGGTTCCGGTCCGGTTCCAAGGCCGTTCCTGCAATTGGCGTGACGCGCTCGGATTGCCTGCTGCTGGACAGAACTGAAGAGTCACACAACCGGGCTGTATATACTTCATCACCCACTACACCCCAGCTGAGAACATCTCGCCAGCGCCAACTATAAAATGATTCTAACGCAGGAAACACCCATCTCCTAGCCCAGACAAAAATTGAAATTGCTCTCGTACCTATCAGATTAAATGGAAACGAATACGACACCGCCCATGTCCCCAGCCAGCGAGGCAACGAACCCACCCGCTCCCACGGCATCAAAGCCTCACCGACCTTGGGCCTGTCTTCCCCATCTCTGAGTGCTACTTCTGGAGTATTTCTAGCAGTATTTCTATCAATCACTGGAACAAACCTTAAGAGCTGCGAAATGACATAGGCCCTTCACCAGAAGAGCATACGTGAGACGTTCCTCCTAGGCTTACGCGAGTGTGTCCAAACGCTTTTGCCGCGACATCTGCGACACGCCCATTCGTTTGTTTGGTCGTTTCACCCTCCAGTTGCATGCCCGGAATCAATTTATACGCCCGACAATTAGTGAGTCTTCCAACTTGCGGCGTGATAGGCATAAGGGGAACTAAATATTAGACTCTTCACGGACAGGCCATCAGCTCACGCTTTTTTAGGGATCACAGACATCACAGCCACCGCCAGAACATCAAAATGAACGGCAACCACATGTCTTGCGTTATCTAGTACACAGCGAAGCCGCAGGCGACCCCGCTCAAACACGTACACGTCCATCGCCAGACCCCTCATCGGGGACCCCACCAACCACCACCGCCACCATTGCCTGCACGCATGCCCGCAATCACAGAGAAAAATCAAGGGAAAAAAAGTCTATGATCACCGCCCTCGAGTCGTTTGCGGTAAGGCACACACCGTCCCCAGCGCCGCCATCCTTTGATTACTGAACCAAGAACCTGTTCTGCGGTATCTCCATTCGCCATGCCACTTTGTTGAAGGTTGTAGCGACAAGGTAGGGAAATGGGCCGGGCAGGTAAGCATCGGCAAAAGAATTGATAAGACAACAACGCAGTAGAAGATAGAGTTGTTACATGCCCTCGAAGTCGCCACCGAGGTCGTCCTCATCCAGGTCGCCCTCCTGTATCTCCTTCGCCATCTCACGTTCGCGTTCGCGTGCTTCTTGGGCGTTCTTGAGCTCGAGGCGGTGCTGGTTCATGGGGAATCGCATAGCCTGAAGAGATTGCGTTAGTAAACTGTCAGAAAAACAGAAGGTAATCAGCATACCTTGACGCTCTCGTCGTGCAGAGCCAAGCACGCGCGAATTCTGTCGTGGAAGGCTTCACCAGGCTCCCGCGTAGCGTAGACATCGCCGACCTCCTTGCTCTTCATGTATCCGTGCTCGCGGTCCAGGGTGGCCTCAATGACACCGTCGCGGATGGCCTTGGCGACAATGTACTCGGCTGACTCCTCGCTGCCGAGATCGAGACGAATGCAGATGTCGCGCAGGGAGATGCGAGAGTATGACAGAGACATCATGCGGATACCGGTCTTGATGACGTTCTGGCGGAGACGGAGGATCAGGCTGTAGGTGCCGTCGCGGCGGAAGGTATCGGCGTGGTCGGCGATGATCGTCTCGAAGTTCTGCACCTTGCCAACGCGGACGGCCTGAACAAGGAGGAAGTAGGGGTGCAGAGCCAGCTCGAGGGTAGGCTGGCGGAAGGTGGAGCGCTCGGGGATGTCACCCATCAGCAGCTCGACGACAAGCAGCAGCTTGGTCGCAGTCTGGGAGAAGCCGACGGCGGCGGCGCTTGAGGGGGCCTTACGGGTCGCGGCCGTAAGGTGCTCGTGTGCCTCCGTGTATCTGAGCTGGATAGCGCGGATGCGTCCGAGGTAGTACAGGAAACGGGCAACCTGGTTGTTGGCAGCGTTCTCGGGGAACTGGGTGTGGGAGACGAGAAGATCGGCTTGCGCGATGTGGGACGTCAGCAAGTAGCTGCGAAGCAGCAACACGATAACCGAAGCTTGCGTGTCAATGTCCTTGCGGAGGACAGCAGTACGCAGAGCAGCGAGCAGGGTTGGCCTGATGGCAACGATCGGGGACTGGGGAGACGAGGGCTGAGGTGCAAGGTTCTCGCAGAACATTGAGTAGTAGAAGTAGACCTTGGCGGAGAGAGAGTCTAATGTGCGGCGGTTGAGGTTGTGGATGCGGTCGGTGAGCTGCTTGGAGAAGTCGGCTCCCAGCTGGAACTGCTTTGAGTCGTAGAGGTGGACCTGGATCAGAATGCCGAGGAAGATGTCAATCTCCGGGATGATCTCCTTTGCCTCCTTCTTCTGGCCGTTCTTGGCCGTCTTCGCGGGCTCGCTGTCGACTTCCATCTCGGGACCGCTAGAACGACCCAGGGGCACGTTCTCGCGGCCGATGGCAATCAGAAGCTGCTTGGCAACGTTTCCGGAGGCGACGGTCGCGGGGAAGGTCTCGACGATGGCCTGGGCAATGATGTCGGGGGTCAGGCGCTTGCGGATGGTCGAGATTGACCGCAGAGCTCGGAGGGTGAATCTGGCATCGAAGAGAACGACGGCGCGATCTAGCAGAGCAAAGTTGCTCTTGATGTCTGTTCATGGTCATTTCGTCAGTAAGGAGCTTCAGACGGCAGTGCACCGCAGGTATTCGAATGTGATGCATTGCGTACCTGCTACAGCCTGCACCACAGGGTCAACCGTGACCTCTGCCTCATCCTTGCCCTCATCACCCATCTCAACGTCACCATCAACGTCACCAGCAGGAGCAGCGGCCTTCTTCGAAGGGGGAACAACCACAGTCATCTCCTCGTCGCCGTCCTTGGCGGCCTTCTTGCTCTTGTTCTTTGCCTCGTCCTTCTTGTTGTTCTGGACGCCGTTCTCGAGGGGCTCCTTCCCGTTGCGCGAGGGTGTTTTGCCCGGCATATCTGCTCAGTGGGCCAGCTGTAGATGTGTATGTGGAAGTGTTCCGGGTGCCGTCTGGGGTGGCAGCGGTCGGTTGTCGGTCGTGATGTCGCGCCCGGGGAAGAGGGAGCGAGGTGGGTGTTGTTTTGCGTAGATACGGAGCCCCGTCAGGTGTCTCGTACCGGAAGGATCGGGCGAGAAAGTCAGGTGACAGAGGTTGGAGGTGAGGAGTGTACGCAGTTGGAGGCCGGAGCTCTGTTGGAGTCGGCGTTCGCTGATGGGAATGGGTGGTTGTTGTTTGGCCGTTTGCCTCGTGATGCAAGAAGGTTCGATGGAGGAGAGCTCAAAGATTGAATACCTGAGGCTTGGGCTACTGCTGCTGCTGCTGCTGCTGCTGCTGCACTCAGGCCCTTGGGGCGACGACACCTAGCAGAGGTCACGGTACTCTGTTGGGGTGGGATGTGTACACGTGAGTCACGCTAGCTTAGGTGCGAATCCGGCGCACTTGGTTGTACCCCTCGTGTACCTTAGCTAAGCGAGTGAGATTGCCGGGCCTGCTGGGAGCGTGGAGCACCATCCCCAAAACCGAAAGGGAAGTAAAGGCCACACGGGTCCCAGGCGCGAGTGACGTTGTCGATGCTGCCTGCCTGTGCCTGCCCTTTGGCTTTCGTGCCACTTGTGCAGCTTTCAGCTGGAATTATGTAATTATTCACAAGCCCGTCTTTGCACAACTCAACCTCGACAACGACCGACTGCAATTATTATTACTCAGCATACGACTGAGCTCCCCATCTTATGACTGCGCTAACAATTCGATCGCCTTCGTGTTGAGCATTGGCCCAACGTTCCCAGCATGAACACCCAAGGGCTATCGCATATTGAACCCAGATTCGTCCTTCTAGACGAATAATGCGGCATTCTCTGCCTTCGTCCAAAGATGAGAGACCACATGTACGAAATGCGGCGCCACCTGCATGTCTGTTTGTGATCTCCGACCGAACCCGGACTATTGCTATTCTCTCCTTTGCGGACGTCTGGGCGGCCCGGCGACGTCCACGCAGCCGCTTGGTACCAGCTGGAGGATGTCGTGATCCAGCTTACTCATGGCATCTACGTTGCTGGACGTTGATGCAGAATAGGGCGTGCATATACTTATCCCAGTCAAGCTTGATTCACTTTGATGGGATGCGTCCTAATCTGTGATCAATTTTGGGTATAGCCTACACTGAAAAAGGTGCCTCGTAGCAACCACGACGTTGAATTGTCGCCAAAGGACCACCTGTATTTCCCGAAACGCCTCATCATGTCCTCCAATCCGTGCCATGAAAACCATGATAATTCCAAGTGCGCAAACGATGTACGAAATGGGATCCTTGGCCTACTACTTCCAGCTGATTTCCATCGAGAGGTTGTCGTGAGGCTGGGTAAAAGAGCCATTCTGGCCGTCCTTCGTGACAGGGTACTGAATCAGCTCCGGGCCACTGATCTGCTGCCGAGTCTGGCTTTGAGGCTGGCTCTTGAGTGGAGCCTTTTTGGTAGGAGAAGGAGACTTTTGCGACTTGGCCTTGACCGGGGTACCGCTCTTCGAAGAGGCCTTGGTAGGAGTGCCGTTCTTCGAGGGAGACTTGGTTGCCATGCTCTTGGAGCCCTTGGAGCCGGAGCCGGTCTTGGATGAACCCTTGGCTGGGGAGCTTCCGCGAGACGAAGCTCCATCACTGCAATCTCCCTCTTCGTCTTCGAAGAATCGGACACTCTTGGCCACACCACACATGTTAGGGTTGCGCTTCTTTTTCTTCTTGTTGTCCTTCATCGCTGACTTTGGTTCCTGGGAAGGCTGGTCCTACTCGCCCTTACCGGAGGTAACCTTTGCCGCTTGGATGGCGCTCATCTTGGTGATCCAGGCCGTGGAAGGCTGGAACTTGCGAACAGCGCGCAATTCGTCGGATGAGTAGCCGGGCACACGGATGTTGTAGGTGCGCTCAAGCACGAGCTGGATATCGCGAATCTCGAGAACCTTGGATCCGCGCTCCTTAGCGTTACGGCAGGCGGTCTCGAGGACGTTGTCGACGAAACTGTCAGCCATGGTCAAGACGCTCTGGAATCATGTCAGAATTGTAAGCTCATAATTTGTTGGTCGAAAACGTACCTCTTCAACTTCGGGCATCAGCATGTTGTTGTCCTGACTCTCGCCGGTTCCGCCACAAACCTGGCGGACGAGCTCATCGAGCTTCTTCTTGCTGAGAACGTGGTCGCCTTCGGCCTCATGCTGGTAGGCTGGAATCTTGGCCATCGCGGGCTGGCCCATGACACCACCGGCAATGCCACTACCTCCGGTATAGGTAGGGCGGCCTGCTCCAGCACCACCACTCATTGCGACAGGCTGCGGGACGGCAGTCGCCTTTTCGGGAAGCTGCTTCGGGATCGGGAGCTTGGACTGCAGCGTCTGCGTGGGCTGAGTCGGATGGGCATGCTGGTTGTTGGCACCCATGATGACTCCCTGTGCGCCGGCAGATCCGGGGGTGTTGTTAGGCTGTTGCTGGATAGGAATCGCAACCTGTGAGTTCACACGCTGGTTTGCGCGCGAGACGGCAGCAGAGTGCGAGAGAGCTTGGCCGTTCGCCAGAGGAGCGGCAGACTGGGGAGTCGCGACACGGTTCTGGGTGGGAGTGCCTGCCGAGGGAAGCCCGCCTCCAGCAGATACGGAAGCGATGGCCGTATTGACGGGAGGAGGGTGAGGCTGTTGCTGACCTTGGGGAGCCATGGCTTGCTGCTGCTGGTGTTGTTGCGGTGCGACAGTGGTAGGTTGTTGAGGTTGCGCGGGTTGAGTAGTCGGAGTGGGAGCCGACGGGGTGGGTGCTTGAGCTTGGGCAGGTGCCTGGTGCTGCTGCTGCTGCTGCTGTTGTTGCGCTTGCTGCTGAGCCGCCTGGTGTTGCGCCTGCTGTTGTTGCTGGGCCTGGTGTGCCTGTTGCGCCTGCTGGTTTTGGGGAGTTGCACGTCCGGCGGCGGCAGCTGCCATTTGCTGATTTTTCGCAGCCTCGATAGCTGCATTCACCGCCGTGTTTTGGGTTTGCATCGAAGGGGTACCCGCCTGGGCAGGCACCGGGCTGGCCTGCGCACCTGCCTGGGTCGCCGGAGTCTGCGCGGTAGCCACCGCCGGACTGGGCTGCGGCTGCTGCTGCTGGGCCTGTTGCTGAGCTTGCTGCTGCTGTTGCGGTGGCCGAGCGGCTCCTTGGGCACCAGCAGCAGCCTGACCAGCGAGGGCAGCGCGCTGCTTGTTGATGTTTTCTTGACTCTTACGAAAACCGTCGACAAACTTGTGCGCCTCCTGGTACATCTTGTGAGCATGCTCTCGGCGGATCTGAATCTGCTTCAGCTCTTCCGCGCTGTACGGCGATCCCCTGTCCTGCCTCTCCTTGATGATGGTGTCGATGCGCTTCATCTGGTTTCCGTTATTGTCCATCTGCATCAACGCTCTCAGGTACTTGGCCTTGAAGTCGTTCGACCATCGCTGCGCCGCCTCGGCGCCCTTCTCGGAGATCGTCATCGGCGGGTTGAACGTCATCTGGCGGATGTGCGCCAGAATGTGCTCCGGGAATTGGGAAGGGGTCGACTGCGGCTGTTGGGCAGCGGCGGGAGTCGGTGCGGCGGCGGGAGCGGGCGCTGGTGTAGGGGCATGTGCCGGCTCTGCGGTTGCCGACGGTGTGCCTTCGGTCTTTGGCTCTGTCTTGACAGTCACGCCGCCTGCATTCTGGCTCGCGGTCTGCTGCTGAGCTTGCGGCTGTGCCTGTTGGGGTTGTTGCTGGGGCGTGGGCGCCTGAGCAGCCTGGGTCTGCTGAGATTGCTGGCCGGCTTGCTGTGGTTGCTGTTGCTGCGCAGCCTGCTGGGCTTGCTGCTGTTGTTGGACTTGCAACCTACGCTGCTGAAGCTTATTCAGAAGCATCTTGGTGAAGTCCTGGATTTTCTTCTTGGCATCTTGATGCTGGGCCGAGTCTTCGGGGTGGTTCTCGAAATGGTTCCAAAGCTGACGAAGGCCGCGCTCGTACTTTGCTTTCTCTTCATCGTTGAGGATCGGGAGGTTTCGCATCATCTCGGGACGATACATTGGAGCCTGTCGCTGGGCTCCGGGTCCGGCTTGACCGGCCGCAGCGCCTTGCTGGCCCGCCTGGCCTTGATTGTTCATCGCGATATCGTGGGATCGGTTTGGAGGAGGTTGGGTAGGTTTCTATCGGGATTGAAGGCTACAAGTTCGGAATTTTCTTAAATACGGCTCTATAATGATCTAACCAGAGATGGGTTATCGTGGTTCAAGCGGGGAATAAAATTTGATAACATGCGGAGCGCGAAGCTGAAGGGGTAAGTAAGAATTGGCGTGAACTCTGCGGTTGAAGTTGCGACAAGGCGACAGACGCGAAGCTGGAAAGTTCCGCGTGGAGCGGTCCGGACCCCTGTGATTGGTCAGAGCGCGCTTCTTTCCAGGCTCCGCTGTCTTGCCGGCCGGTGCCAGCTTGCTAACACCGAAAGCTTGAACCCAGTCATCACTTCAGCATGGTTCTTTGGAGGTCAACTTTGTCACTAGCATGAAATGCAGCTGGAAGGTCTTGGATTGCTACATGTTTTGTCGTCCCTTTTCTCCACTTGGGGAGACAGTGCTTTGAGGGGCTTGGATATGCCGTCCAGTGTGATGGACACGGGGCCCTTAATCCATAGGTTAGGTCCTGTCACAATGTCCAGCGGATCAATGTTTCGGCCGAGTCATCGGATGCGACGATATAATGGCCAACCTTTCTATCTGTTCAGACTGTTTTCAACATACTAGTTTCTGCAATGACACATCGCCGAGAACCACTGCAGCTTGCATGCACTTGTTTTTCAGTACACTGGGTCGCTTACATCGACTTGATCGTTGCAAAAGCCAAATGGTGCTCAGAATACGTGGCTAGGCACCTTAGTTGATATGATCATGCCCAGATTTGACCATGAAAATATCACCAGGGCTCGAGAAACTTCAATCAGGGTTGTGAAAAGCTGCTTTTCTCTGCATTCCTTACCGGACAGGGTATCCATGATGGACTGATGCGCAATCTGTCAAGTGAGATCTGTTTGGCTTCAAGCATGGTTTCGGGAGCTACCTTTTCCAGCTCCGCCAGTACCTTGGCTAGAAACCATGGAGGATTTCATTGAGTAAGAGCCGCAAACCATCCTTCGCATTCCTTGTCTTTCCATAAGAAGCAGGCTTCTCGAAGGTGTCGGCCCCAGTCCCAAACCCACGACTGCTAAATAGGGCGTGGAGAGACCGGAAACACGTCTGCGCTGGTCGTCCTGCGGGAGGCCCGCCGGACCTGCAGATGGATGGATCCCCAAGACCATCCACTCTGGCGCGAACTCGCCATGCGCAATTGCGCAACCCAACGATGGCCGCATGAGGCCAGTGCAGGGGGTGCCAGCGCGGTGAGACTAGAGAATGGGGGTACTATGCCCTAACGCAGGCGGCGGAACGAAGGAAGACGATATGCATCGTGGAAAAATTCGTCGCGGCAACGAGAGGGATGGGCAGCAGCAGCAGCCGCCGCCAGCAGAGTAAGATGGACGGATGGACGGACGGAGAGTCTTCATGGCGGCCCAATCCACCAGTCTATTCGCCGAGGGACGGACCGAGAGCTGTCGTCCCCGTTCGCGGTTCTTATCCCGTCGTCCGAGTGTCATCCGTCAGTCAACTGAACTACGTAGTACGGATACGTATTCATGGTTTGACGATGTTGTTCAGGCCAGGGCGATGGGCTAGGTTGGGTTGGGTAAGGGATCTTCTTCCTCAGCAAGGAATGGAAAAGGCTAAGAAGAGGGGCCGTCAGCGTTGGGTGACAGGGGTCAGTCGCCATTAATCATAGCGACGGGAGTGCCTACCTTCACACATCCTCCGACGTGATGATTATCCAAACATGGAAAGATGACCTGGCTCCAATGGATGGAGACTTGGGAAACGAGACACTGGAAAGGAAGGCGAGTGCAAGCGTAAACGTGGCGTAGTGAATTGCCGTCAGCTCAAGTTACACCACGTCGAGGCCCGACGCGAAGGGGCCGTTGCCGTTGCCGTTGCCGTTGCTCTTGCCGTTGCGGCTGCCCTCAGTCTTCCCGTCTGCACCAGAAAGGGAAGTCGAGACAGACCGAGACACCTTCTAGAAACCGCCCCCCAGATGTTGCGGCGCTCCTTCCTTCCTTCCACTCGGACGCCAGAATTCTGCGTGTATTCCTCCTGACCGCCTTCATGTTCTTTTTCCTCTTTCTCTCTGCAAGGCTCCCTCTACCTCTCCATACGAATCCCACTCGGCCACCTCACCCCTCACCTCTGATTTTTTTTTTCCGTCCCTCTCACTGATGCTGGTGGTGGTGCATTGTATTAGCTGCTGCAAGTGCTGCGAGTCCCAGCTGCAACACGACCGAAAAACCTGCACGACGATTGGGAAGAGCGCCATCGCAGTCGACCCTCCGTCCCCGACTCGAACCCTCGTTCATTGGGCACAAGTGCTGCTACCCAGCCTACCCTTTTTCCAACCTGTCTGTATCTGATCTGTTTTTCCCAGTCGTTTGTTTCGCTCGTCTCCATACCGTCGGTCCAATGCCCATCACGTCCCGCTTGTGGCTAAATCCTGTGACGCCGCATTCCCTGTCGCTGGAGACTGCGGGAAGCAGGTAGCCTCACCGATGAATTCGCTCAGCACGTCTCTTCCAGACGTTGACCGAGCAAGCTGCCAAGGACACGAGTCGTCAAGATGAGCATTGGACACATGTCTTCTTGGGCTTCGAGGGTTGGGGCCCGCTGCCCGCCACAATGCCACTGCTGCTACGGATACATCCCACGACATGGGAATACACTGCAGCAGGCGACGCACTAACAGTAGCTGCGTCCCGATAAGGCCAATGACCATGATGCCGGCCGTTAATGTGTGGCGTCGATAGGGCCAGAGGCGGACAACGGAAAGCCTCAGACTCGACAATTCGAAGGAGCCTCGAACCAAAGACATTGTCAAGTTGTCAAGCCGGAAAAAAAGTAACAAGAAATCGCCAATGGTTCGGCGATCCGGCCACCAGTACAACGATCTACTCTTCCCCTCCACACCTCTCGCCCCTCCAGTTACCCCTCCCTCCACTCCGTCCCGGTCCTCGCCCTCTCACTCTCGAGACTCGATTGGATGTCTTCCCGCAGTCCGTCTCCCCCAATCCAGCCCAGTCCAGCCGACCAACCAGTCATCCAGTCTGGGCCCCCAGCATGCAAGCCTAGCAAACTCGCAAGAACCCGCCGCTGCGGCATACGCAAATGCGTGAGGGCACACCATACGCCGTGACGCCCACACACATGCCAATTTTCTCTCAATTGCGGGATACACACGGCTTGACGGGTAGACCAGGGAGTCCTGGAGCATTGCTGCCCAAAGGCTCGAACTTGCGTTGCGCCGCCCCGCGAGACTGCGCAAGAGAGGGACCACCACCGGCCACGCCCACGCCCACGTCCAACCCCAACCGCCGGTCACGCACAACACTTTTGCAACGAGAACTTTTTTCCCATTTCTTTTTGCTTCTGATAGGAAGACCGGCGAGAGACGAAAGGCCCGTTACAGGCATTTTGCGATACGTACCATCTGCAGCCAAATATGGGGGACCACCAGAGGCGCCAACAGACCCAGCAGCAGAAGGACTATGACCAGCACCCACCAAACCAAGAGAGAGGCTCATCTGCCCACCGCCGGCTGGCTGGCTGGCCACTGGATCCTCCGACTTCTTGCTGCATGGCATGGCATGGACATGGTACGGCTGCAGTGAGCGCACATGTGCGATGATTCTTTTTTAATTCTTAATCCTCCTCTGTCCCACGCCCTCGAGGAATCCTCCTCTCTTTTTCCCATTCTCCTTCGTCGTTGACACATGTCTACCTCCCCCGGACCGTCGCCATCTGCTATTACACTTGCGATTCCGTGTCTCGTCCCCTTTGCTTGGTCAGTCGAAGACTGAACGACAGACAGCATAAAGGGGCAATCCGTGAGAAAACACGGATTATATCAGCTATACCTATAAGACCGGACGGCCTGGTTGCGCCATCGAAGCCGCCCGGCCTATCACGGAACAACCAGCACCCCTCTCCGAATCGATTCAGCCATCGAGGAGACATCGAACGCCGTGAGACTCCTTCTCACACCCCGGTAGCTCGGACGTCCATATCCATCGCCATTCACGGCTGAGACCCAGGAATTATAGAACGATCCCCTTCGGCGGTCCGTCTGCTGGCTCTCATTCCGCTTGAGGCGCCAACTCAGCAGCTACAAGCAGACCCTCAGGTTTCGGGAATCTTGCATCCCGCGAGGCGCCCATTACTCGGCACTGAGTTGCTATCTTGGATTCCTTCTTGTCATCTAGTACTGCTTCTTGCGGTATTCATCCCACCCTCCGACATAACAACTCACATCCGACAAATTCCAGAGCTCTTGCTTTACCCAGGTCCCCCACGCTTGTCTTCGACACTTTCCCCAACTAGTTTCATCCAATTACCTTGTTCAAGGCCATCATCGGAGCTCGCCTTGACCATACCATTGCTTTTGCTCGCGTGCACATAGCACTGCTGCTTCTCTCCTCTCTCGTCAGCCATTTCGCGCTGCTCTGCTGCAACCTTCTGAACAAGGACCAGCCCTTGTCGCCCAGGACGAAGGCCGTCCTATCGTCACCGCCCGCACGATTTTCGTTGTCCCCACAGCCGGGATCCCGCACCTTGTTCCCCGAAACATTCCTCTCCGTTTCTCTGCCTCTGTCTCTCGCGGGGGCCAGCGACCAGGACTGAGACGTGGGACTGGGATTCGAGGGACCATCTTCGGCGCCGCCAATCGTTCGTCCGCCATTGGCACTTTGCACCCATTCCACAAAGGCGCATCCCGTGCTCTCCAGGCGCAATCCGGACATCCAGCAGCGCCCTGCTCCCTCTTCTCGAATTTCCCCCGAGATCTATCATGACAACCTATAGCGACCAACGAATATCCTCTTCTCCTTGTCGGAGGTTTCTACTTTGGGTGTTGACGCCTTGACTTGTTACAACTTGCTCACTGTCACTCTCACCACATCTACTCACCGCACATCCACACCACATCAACCGCACCTCCATCTACCGGCCATCGCTAGCGGGAAGCTGATCTGATCCAT